CAAAAAAAGGCTGGACCACCCACTGTCAGGGGAGAGAGTGCCCTGGGCCCCCGGGGTGCTGGGAGGGGGAACCATCTGGGCCCTAGGGTCTCTGCAGGTGGGACGCTTGCTGCCTGCAAATGTGGGGAAGCCTTCCCGCAATCTCCACAAACCCAAGAGAGCCACCTTAAGAGCTCTCCCTCCATAGGACCAAACGGGATCCGCCAGGCGTTTCATATACCATATTCTATAGCCAAGGAAGCCTTAACAAAGAGCCGTACGCTCTCACGTTTCGCTTCAGGCTTCTCCCTGCTGCAGCTGGAGCTGAGTTTTTAAAAATCTTTGTGTCATTATTTCGTTCCTCTTTTGATTCAGCCATCGAGGGACAAGGAGATGCCAAACGAAAAGAATGGGCATTTAAACAGAACTAGATTGAAGAGGCAGTGTGTGCGCTGAACAACAAGTCTTTTTACATTTCATATGATCTTATACATGGGCTCCATTCAGTATATTTCCCCTCTGTTTCATCTGAATGTACAGAATTAGCCATTCACATCCTCTGGAATTACGGCTCTTTAACATTTCCATTCTGAGCTGCCTCCATATTTTGGGGGTTGGGAGTGCTATTAGCTCAGCTGGGGAAGCACAAGCTGAGGTCAGAGTTGGTCTTGCAGGCTGGAAATGAGCTTTTTCTTTTTTTGGAAAGTGCAAGATTTGGTGCATGACGACTCTGGTCAGAAAGATATACGACCATACACAATAACGTGTATGTGCTAGAACATGCATGGACCTGGTTTCAGTGGAGGGGGTCTTTGTCACATTAATCCCAGGGAAGTTATTTCTTTAGACAGAAAAATGAGCCTCAGTTTTTGGATGCCGGGTGAGCTCCGCAATTGCCTGAGGTCGCGCCTGTGGCTGTGTCCTTCTGCGTGGCTGCTGCATCATTGTCTTTTTGAAAGACAAATATCAAAAACAAATATTTACTGTGCTATTTACTAAAGCTCCCTGGATACTGATACAAATTTAGAAGAGTTGGCCCAGAAAACTCATTCAAACTGAGTTAGAGTCACAAGAGGAAAACCATGAGGGATGTGTGCGTGCAGCTAATTCTGCTGAAAAGCTCTGGACCTGGCACTGCTGCCCCGAGTGAGGATGGGACTGTGCAGTGGCATTGGTGCATCCTGAGCCTATGCTGCCTTCCCTGAGAGCATTCCTGTGGTGTTACTTACACACATCATCAGAAGGAAAAAGGCTGGCTTGGGAGTGTTTCTCTTGTGAATCTGCCTTTTTTCTAGCTTGACTTATCTGCTGGCACACCTAAGCCAGTGTCCTCTTTGGGGTGTTCTCCCTTTCCCCAGCATTTACATATAGGAGGGTTTATTGCCAGACAGCTGGGATGTCACAGTGGGAGCAATCTGCAGAGAGGAGAGAGCAGAACCCGCCGTGTCTCTGCTGGCCACTTTGCAATGCCTGTGTGCTGCAGAGAGGTGCTTCCCTTGGGAGGGAGACCTGCAGGCTGTGGACCGAGTGGTCTGCAGGAACCAACATCCCAAAGGGAAGTCTCTGCCTCCTCTGCCACTCTTTCTTTGCTATATATTTAACTTTTTCTATCTATGGCTCCTGCATCATCATTCCCCCAGGCCACTTCATCTGGTTGTTGTGGAAATGAGGACAAGGTGGCAGACAACAAACAAGGGCCCCCAACAGGGCAAATAAACCCAGCAAGGTCGATCGTGACTCAGAAGGCAGCAAGGCTCCCGTTTCTCCCCCTCACCTGGCTTTCTGTAAGACAAGGTTTAGCTGCTCCTCAAGGGCAGACCTGGGGGCTGCAACATCATGCTCTGCAGGGGATTGTTGCCAGCTGACTTCACTTTAATACACAGCATGTGCTAGAGAGGGTTCACCTGAGCCAGGCACAAATCCCAAGTCCCCTGTCGACCACCCCTGAACCAGTCTGACTCAACCAGGTTGCAGGCTTTCCCGGAGATCCCTTCAGTCACAGCCCCCTGCCTTAATTTAACCTGGTTATTTATACCTTTTCCTGTGTGTGTTTAATTATAGCAAAACCTGGCAATACCGCTGTGCTTAACGGTCTGTTGGCATTTCCATTATGAGCCCAGACTGGAAGGGATTATATAGCCTGAGTGTTTGAACTGAGCCTCAGACAGAGACTTGGCATAGACTTGCAACCCAAATACAGAGATTTCCAATTGGCTAATGGCAGTTTTGAAAAGGGAACATTTTTCACATGCTTAGGCCCTTCCATTTGCTTAAGCTGCCTTCCTCTGTTTTAAACTCAGCGAGCAAGGAGTCGTAATTCAGCCTGTTACAGCAGTGACTCATGTTCATTGCACAGTGATGCCATAACCAGCCAAGGCAAGGCCTTCTGCCTTAAGAGGAATTACACACAGAGAGATGACTGGGGAAAGTCAGCTCTTTCACTCACCGGAGTCACACCATCTGTGCATCCTAACTGCAGCTGCCATGGCCAGCATGAGTTGTCTGACCACGTCTCAGGCTCTGCAGTGGCGATACCTAATGTCACCAACATGTGCTGGACTTCATAAGCAGCCAGTAGCACTTACAGGGCATCAGCTGGTTCATCCTCAAGTAGATGTATCAAATAGGATTGCTTGGTGAAGTCCTAAAAATGTTTTTTTCTTCCCATCAGCTCTATGGGGAGTTGTGGTAATAGGCTCAGGCAGCAGGGAAGACAGCAGGGATAGTCTGCTGGGACCAGTCACACTTGCTGGGAATCTAGAGGAGCTCCCTCCTCTAGAGGGATGTGGTCCATCCATCTATCTCCACAAGTTTTTTCTTCTAATGGGAGACAGAACAAGAGCAGGCAAAAAACTATGTCTTCTTTTAATGCATAGGAGTCTTTGACACAGAAGAACCAAGTGATTTACCCATGGTCTCCCAGTAGGTCAAAGAGAGCCTTTCCTGGGAGCAAACCTGGATCTGCACTGCACACTGATGCCTCTGCAGGGCCTCTCCTCCTTCTGAATGCATTAAGTAAGCAAGTTGATACAACAAGCAAGAGAATATCTTGTTTTGGGAAGAGTTATAAGTCAAGTTGGCCAGACATCAGCAAAGAAAACTAGCTGGTAAATGAAGAGAAGCCTGTAGCAAAGACGATGTGTTGCAAACAGCCTTTCTCTCCAGGAAGCTTGCTTTTGACCTTGGTGGAAGGTCTTCTGTGCCTGTGTCCGTGGTAGAGATGGTCCATCCATTGCTGTCTCCCATCTCTTGCCTGTTGGAACCTGAGAGGAAGGAGGTGAATACCATACCCTGTACTCAGCTGGAGGAGAAGCATCAAGGCCCAAAGCTGCTGCATTTGCAGCTCATAGCTAGAGGGATGCTATGCAAGGTGCCCTGACTTCTGCTCCCCTGGAGCTGGGGCTGCACTTCATTCCCCATCTCAGGGGTACCGGAGCTGGGTGTGCTCACCCAGGCTGTGCTAGGCAGCTGCACCCCCTGACCTGGGAAGGGCTGGTGGGGACTGGACAGAGGAGACAGCTCTGTTCCCATCAGGGCTGTCACCATGGGAACTTTAGGGACCGAGGCCATTTACGGCTGGTTGTAAACCCTGACTCTGACAGCAGAGCCTTTCTTCGCCTTTTCCTCTGGACTTGGCCCTGACTGTCTCAGAGAAAGCAGGCTCAAATTCTACCTCCGGCTGGCTCTGCACACACATCCCCTGGCACTGAGTGCTGGCCCGCTGCGTGGGAGCTGCTCGAGCTCAGCTAAGTGTCCTGGCTGTCTCTCCCAGAGAAAGTGGAGCAGACGCCTGAGGTTGCTGAGCATCACAGGTCTGACAGTTCTACAGACACCTGCAGATATGCAGGGAAAGACAAATGGTGGGGTAGCAGTGCCATTGCCCCTTGGAGGAGCTCTCAGATCAATTTGTGAGGCAAATTATCTCTGGTAAAGTCTAGCTCCTCTCGGCAGATTCCCAGCTTTGAGGCTGGAAGGGCTCATCTTTCGGCTTGGCCAAAACTGAAAGTGCTGTGGTGAAAAGATGGAGAAACAGCTGGCAGGAGCCAGCCCGTGGAGGAGAAGTTGAGGGCAGAAGGACTTCAGCAGCCAAATCTCATCTGGTCCTTCTTCTGATGCCAAATTCTCCTGTGAAAGCCACGTGGGTTGTGCAGTTCCAGAGGACTACCCCGGGCCTGCCCAGCCTTTCTCTAGAGAGAGAGAGAGGTTAAAACACAGACCTGGTTATCAATGCTGCTCTGTCTCCTGGGAGCTAGAGTCCAGGTAGCTCATGGCTGTCTTGTCCTTTTGCAGGCTCAGCACCCTAGCTGGACCACTGATCCCCCTGTGTGCCACAATGCCCTGCTAACAAAATGTGGTGGCGTGACCGTGGTGCTGAATGGGAGTCTCCATGGCAGGGTAGTGTCTGGCAGGGCAGGACTTGGGGACCAGGAGGCAGTCCTTGTTCTTCACAGTGAAGGCCTGGGGGAAGGAGGGCATTTTGCCAGACTGAACTCCAGTCAGTTGGGCTGGAGCTTTCAGGAGTTCAGGTTTGTGTTAAAAAGTAAAAGCTCCCTGCAGAATACAGGGAATTACAGCAGAATAAAAAATTAAATACTCAACACTTAGTTATAATTTACACTCAATGATCCTTGTGTGTCCCTTCTGACTCAAGATATTCTCATACAAAGAGAAAACTCCAAGAGATACTCTCCAGCCTCTCCATACAGAAAGACTTTCAGGAGAGAGCTGCCCACCGATGCTCCCTTTCCCAATGGCCCTCACATGCACAAATTTTCCTCAAAATTTTCCCCACAGCTTGAGGTCCAGCTCTGCCCATCAGGCCTGCCAAAACCTGTGACCCCATCTCCTGGCAAAGTGACGCATTTGGAATGACATGGACCACTGCTTTCTCCATTCTTCTGCTTCATGTGCCCTGATTTCCGTAGCGAATGAGTCACTGGCTGGCACCTTGGCTGGAAGATGGATGAGCCACCCCCATGCTGCTGACACAGCCTGAATACAGACTTTCTGCTCTTACCTAGGTATGAGACCAGGAAGAGGAGATGTGCTTCCTAAGAAAAAGTGACTGGATTTGTTCTGGGCTTCCTGTGGGATTCTGGGAGAAAAAATGAAAAGGCTTTGCTGCTTTATAAGGGTAAGCGCTGCTTTTTTTTTTTTTTTTAATGTGTGTTGCTTTTGCATTTCTTTATTTTCAAGAAAATGGTAGGAAAATTTTCCTCCTTAAGGGAAAAACAAAGCAAAAGCTGAGACTGGTAGTGTTGACTGCTCATCCACGGAGAACAGTGGTTCCATGAAAGGCTAAAGTCTGTTTGCACTGGTTCCTACAGCTAATGAAGTATGACTGTGAAGGGGGCTCCTAATGCTAGTGCGAAGCAAGGCTCACAAGCTTCAAATGTTTTCTTGGATGATCTCCAAACCTTCTGCCCTCCTTTGGGCTACAGCTGAGGTTGGAGACCTCAGAGCTGCGAAGACTTCAGTGCAGCTGCTTCCAAGCAAAACCAGAGCCATCACAATGAAAATAAATAAATAAACAAATAGTGCTATTCTGAGCCTCAGACACATTGGAGTGTTTCATTTGCACCACAGCGTGCAGGATGTGTTCCTCCCTGTTTGGGAGCAGTGTCCTGGTTTCCAGTCTATGGCTTTCTGGTGAATTCCCTCCTCTGTCTTCCAAGAGGGGAGCCTGCACACCCCTAGTAGACTCTCAGCTCATTCTTAAAGGGCTCTGTTGGTTTCCACTATCAGGGCATCATGGTGCAGGACTGATTCACCCCCTAATGCATGAGCACTCACAGTGTATTTCCATGACATGCAGCTACCCCTTCATACCTCCTGTTAAAAGAAACCTTTTTTCAGGTGTGGTCTTGTCCTGACAAGTCAGCTCTTATGCTCCCTGCACACCTTTTGGCTGTCACCTCTGGCTGCAATGCCGTCCAACACCTCTTGGTTTAAATGAGTGTTTGCCTCATTTATTGCAGGTAACACTCTGCAGCTGGCTGTCCCCTCCTCCTGGCCCTCTCCTTATTTCTTCTTGGGATACTTCAGCTCTCTCCAGGGCTGCAGCCTTGCAGGATCCTCTGCATCACTGTCCTGTGCTCTCAGTTGGTTGCATTTCTTCATGCAGAGTCCTCGTGGAGGTTCACCTTCCTTTTCCCTCCTAGATTCTGTCCAATTTCCCTTCAGTCAAATTCCCATCCCAAATCCTCCTTCCTCATAGCAGTTCCTGGGTTTGTCTCTTGGTCAGTCAGTGCCTTTCCTCAAATGCCTGTGCATTCTGTGTGAGGCAGGATGGGGCGCGGGAGGTGGCAGGAGCTGCCTAGTCTCAGGGATGGACTGGACTTGTGATTTGGATTGCAGTGATCCACAGCTTTGCTTCTCTGAAAATCCTGCTCAGCCCCTGGCTGGAGCGCATCCTGAAAGGGGAAAAGTTTCAGGGAATTCGGCCGGTAAGCCCTGTAAGACTGCCTTAGGGGAGCACATGTGAAACGGAACATTTCAAAGACTTGGCTAAGTTTGGCGGCAGCAAAGGGTGCATCTGGACTAAACCAAAGGCCTTCCCTGCTTCTCCTTTTGCCAAACTTCAAGTCTGCATGCCAAAAACATGCAGCTTGAAGAGCTCTTCAAAGAAAAGGTCATCAGATTTCTCTGTAACAAAAGCAAGAGAAACCAAAGCATTTCCCCTTACAATGTTCTTGGAAGCAGATGAATCATTTTGGCTGAAATTATATATTTTATAACTCTATTTGCTTAGATACTTCAGCATTAGGCAGCTAACCAGCAAGATGAAGTTCAACCCAAACATTTTAGCATGGCCTAGTTAAATCCAGCTGAATAACAGCGCTTGGCATAGGAAGAGTGACTGCAGGTCCACAGCGCTGGGAAGGAGCAGACTTACCTGCAATGCCTGTCCCTTGTGTCATTGTTTTCACAGATCTCCTGAAATGGTGATAATGTTTGGTCGGGGTGAAGGAAACCTAAACTTGCATCCTTTTTTGTCTTCATTTTCTTTCTCCTTCAAGCCGGAATGACAGTGCCCCATCTTTAAGCTGTGAGTGGTATGCCCTGGTTTGGAGATGGCATTTGGAGTGGAGATAATATGATTTCTTAGGCACAGTAGAGTTGGTCAGCTTATACTAGTGCTTTCCAGCTACCTCAAACTTACACCTCACGGCAGCTCTGAATGGTGCTGTATCCTGCAACACATTCTGCATCAGCAGGAGGCTGTGTGATCCTCACCCCGGAGTGAGGAGGGGAGGCAAGAGTGGAGCCAGGAATCACAGACCAAGGTGTGCTAGGAAGTCCAGATGTGCAAGAGGAAATGGATGAAGATGGGGGCTCTGGGGGCAGGCAGGGCTGGATGAGGCTCTACCACCACTTGGGGCTCTACAGTATCCTCTCCCATTTTTCTGCAGAGCGATGAAATGGTGCTTTACCAGCTTCTCTTCTGGTGGTCTGTGGTGTGTCTGTGTTCTGTCAAGCCAGGAGTCAGCATCCCAAACAGAAGTGATGCTGACAAGGACTGGGAGGAACTCGTACTCCAAGGAGACCAGCACTGGGATGTACAGCTGGGCCATACACAGCAAATGGCAGAGGGCTGCACTGCAGCAGTGGAAGTGTTGCAGAGGATGGCAGAAGCCTTAAGTCCTTGTTTAGCTGCTGAAACACTGTGCACTGAGAGATGGGTGCAGATGCTGCATCAGCTCAGGGCCCTGTTCCCTCCTCTCCCTGCTGCACCACTGCTGTGCCCTGGCACAGGCCACTGCTGTCACAGAAGACAAGGAAGGCAAGAAGCTGACCCTGCTGTGGTGGTGCTGCAGCGGGTGCAGACAGGGCTGGCAAGCCCTTTGCAAAGGTGCTGTGTGTCCTCAGAGGTGCTGGTTTTGCTCTGCTGACAGTTTCCCATGAGCATTCTTTTTCCTCTCTGGGAGACTAAATAGCCTCTGAGCAAGGAGGATCTGGCAGTCATCCCGGCCCTACTGTGTCACTGGGGTGTTTGGGGAGGGGAGAGAATAACCCAAGAGGTAGAGAGCAGGAACTCCTGGTGCAGCTGCAACTTTCACAGCAACCTCCTTACTCTCCATCTCTGCCATGGCAAGGGCCCTCGACATCTCCTGGGTGCTCAGTGAGGAGCAAACCACGCTTTCCTTTCTGCCCATATGCTGAGTCTGTGGCATCTTTCTCCCATTTAAGTATTTCTTGTCACTGGTGATATGGATGCTTTTGACAAACGAAGGAAAAAGGAGGGACGTGTCAGGGCCTGGACAAGGAAATAAATATTTAGACTCAGATCCACAGAAGATAACGTGGTGTTTTGCATCTGGCTGCCACCATGATGTCATGAGCAGCCTCCGAGGTCAGGAGAGTTTGTCCATCCTTTGCTTGGGTGGCTTGTGAATGCTCAGCACGGCTCCAGCCTTGTGGTATCTCCTGCCAGCCTTGGTCACCTACTGGGGTTCCTCGGTTCAAAGCTGATGGAGGCCAGGGATGTGAGTCACTGGCCTCCCCTGGCCTTCTTCCACGCGCTCCATTTGGTGCTGCTTTGTGTGTGTGAGAGCGTGCTCCCCTCTCCCAGCTGTGCGTGCCTGCCTGCCAGCACGCCGCTGATCCAATCTGCAGCTGTGCTGGGTTTCTCCTCTCTTCTAGCTCTGAGAGTCTTGTTCATGGATTAGGGGGAAAAAAGGAGGAGGAAGAAGGGGGAGTGGGGAGAAAATGAAAAATAAATTAATGAACCAACACAGGGAGAGATACCCAGTAGAAGTGGGTGTTCTGCCCATGGGCAGCATGGTGTGGCATCATCCCCACTGTGCCTTCACCACCAGCAAGCAGAAGATGTCACCTCCCTACACCTTCCTGGAAGATGAACTGGGGTCCCTGTTGGAAGTCCTTTGCTGGGGGACTGCTAGCTCCTATGGGCACCAGGTTGATTCCCAGGAAAAACCAAACCACCGTCTCATGGCTTTGCACCCAGTTACGCTGGGGCTGCTGCCGAGCTCTGCGTGTGGTGAGGGGGTCACCCCTCCTGCAGGCAGATGGACTGGACCTTCCTCAGTAAGGCACCACCAGCTCTTGCCCATGTACATTTGATAGAGCACAGTGGTGAGTAGAGAGCTGGGCAGCCCCTCCAGCGGGAGCTGGCTGGCAGCTGCAGGGCTAGGACACACAGCCTCACCTCCTGATGGCCTTCTTCATTGCAGAAGGTGCCCAGGAAGTCTCCAGCAGTGACAATGTGCAGGGGAACCATGAGACATCCCAATGGGGAGAGTCCCACATGTCAGGCGGTGTTTGGAGGTAAGTTCTGCTCTTTGCAAAAGGTTGGGGAGGGTTTTGGGGTGGACTTCCCAGGATGCTGATTGCTGTGGTATCCTACAGACACCATAATTGCCAGAAGGGCTTGTGGGTCAGGAGGTGAACTGAAGGACATTTTTGAGAACTGCAGTGGCATCCTTCTCTGTCCAGTGGGGTGCTGGAGACTTGTGTGAGTCAATCTGAAGCTTTCCTCTGCATATCACCGGAGGCTGGAAGCCTTTGCCAAATGATCAGTGCACCACCACAAAAATCTGTGATGGGTCTTGGCACTGATCACACAGGGTCTTCTGAGGATGAGCAGGACTGTGGGAAAAGTGACGATCAGCCAAAATGGTATGTATATACACTGTCTTGCTTCCCTGTGTTTTATGGTTGATGAATTTGAAAATGACTCCACAGCCATCAAAATATTGTCTTTCCCTCCAGAGCCTTTTTTGTAGCAGACAGTTTCTAAAATGGGCCATTTGTATTTCCCATTAGTTGGCCCTGTTAATCCTGTATTTTCCCAGGAAACAGCAATGGCCTAAAGGTTGATTGTACTTTACCTGGCACGAATGCAGATCTGTGGATTACAAGGGTTCCCCCCCTGTGCAAATGAGATTAGGCAAGGCCCCAGTGACATGGGTCAAACTGGGACAGAGTAGTGGCTTCCCAGAGAGGGGATGGGAGGGCTGTAACTTCCTTAGCAGCTGTGATCCTGCAGATATGACGGGGAAGGCACTCAGGGGGTCTGGGCTGGTGTTTAGGCAGCCTGGAGCGGAACCAGGCTGACTTTACAGTTCACAGCTGAGGTGTTCGCTGCAGGCAGCAGAAGGTATTTTCCCAGCCTTTCTGGTGGTCCCTTTTCACAGCTGGAGAAACACTTTGGATGTGAGTCTCCCCATGTCAAGCCCACGTGCTCTGTGGGGTGTGGCGGACAGCAGCTTGGACATGGGAGCAGTGAGGCTGCACAAACCCCTCTCTGCTTTTCACTGAGGTGCCCAGGGCAGAGGGGGAAAGGCTTCTTGTGCCCTGGTCCCCAGGCTGAGCCCCTGCCCTCAACCCAGCCTTGTTCATCTTGCACACTGTGGACTTTCCCTGGCTTGCAAAGCCCAGGTGTGATTGTGGCCGACCTCTGATCAGGGACTTTGCCTCCTGATCCAAGTGCATGAGGTAACGTGGTGCCGCCCCTCAGCCCAAGGCTCTCCCTGCCCCAGCGAGGCTGGCACAAGAAGTGTGCCCCACTCTGGTGCTGGGTGGGCAG